TACCCACCGTGATCTTCAGTACATAGAAACTATCAGATTATCACCGCGAAGAACGTAATAGGCGAACACTGTTAAATTTGGACGACGTACGGTTTAAAAATTTACTGTGTTCTGATTGGCTAACGGATAAACGGAAACGTATGAACGGAGAGCTATGAACCCACCTTTAGGCCCTTGTTCTCTTGCCTACCACACAATTTCTTTTCCCATATATACTATTTGTTTCACTACTGGTACTTGAAATCCTCCAAATTAACAGATTAGAAGGTGAACTGTTTGACAGAATATTTTGTTTCTTAATTTTATACATGTCAATTAGGTATACTATGCGTGGAAGTAAAAGTCAACCAGGCCGTATTTTGTTCTGTCGCCTCGGGATATACCTAATCTTGGTGCTCAGGCAATAATACTAATAAATTTCTCTACCTTGGTGTATAATATATACTATTGTTCTGTCATTATTAAGCTGCCGAGAATCCCACCTTACAAGTGGAAAAATGGTCAATAATCGTGCCATCATAGGTCAGTGGTGAAAAAACATGTTTATTTTATATCTTTTAATTTATATTGTAAGTGACGCTGGAAAATTTACGTATACATTAGATATTCCGTATATTAGTCGGAGGCAAGATAGTTTTGCATAAGTAGTACACTGATTTAAGAATATTCTGCATCCAGGCAGGATCTATAAACAATAAACACAATCACTATAGTTAAGTTGTGACAAAACCAAAGAATTCGCATAGAAAGCTTTAAGTTTAATGTTATGATTGCGTCTAAGTTAAAGTTATAGTATAGATTACTAAAAATTAACTACAAAGTTAACAAAACCTCTGTTAAATCTTGCATATGTTTTTTTTAAATGAATTTCAAGGTTTCTAATTTCTACCTTCATCCACGAACGGAAGTGTAATACGAGATACCTACCCCAACGTCAAGTTTAAATTTAACAGTTGTGGCCAACCACAGTATATCCTGACCCAACCCCTATGGTTAGACACATCTGAAATAAAAATCCGCCATATTGGAGCTAAAAAATTGTTTGATTGTAGGATCAATATACCTTGTAATCGTCAAATTGTGACTGTAGAATAATAAATGTCAGTTTAATTTAAACATTCTCCTTCAAAACTAATGACCCAGAAATGATCGTTTGAAACTTTGCAGAACAATCTATGGGGAAACCACTGCCTCCCATTATTCAAAGGGATAAAACGGTATAATAAGTATAAAATATGGTGCAAATATCCAAAATGTAATTATTAAATTGCGTTTGACATTTCGTAAGTGTGCTCTGTCACTTGACACTGTCACTCACAATTGCGTTATCTATAACCACCATTTAATTTGCTGGTAAATTTGGTATAAGCTGCTTCTCTAACCAGTTTCTCTGAAACGAGTAACCTCTGAAACAATTTTTACATCAATTACCACTACTAAGGTTTTATGTTTTACGTCGAAAAACAGTTTAAGCGAATTACATACCTTATAATATCCTAATTCCAAGCTATACGCGTCTTGTAAAATACGAGTTTATATAAAACTGGAGACGGAAAACGTAAAATAAAGAAAATACAAGAAGAAAAGTGTAAACTAGTAACGTGGAGCCGTGAAGCGTGAACTGTCAAAAAAGTATAATTAATAACAAATAATTATAGCACGGAATGTAGCGCGTCATTTTGGAGGGCGCTATGGCATTGGGCCGCAAGAAATTAGGACGCAGACATTAGAACGCGGACATTGGGACGCAGACATTAGAATTAGAACGCAAGCATCATGTAGATCACCTTACAAAGGAGGTAGAACAATAAAAGGTAACACTAAATTAAACCAATGGTATTTTACTTATTTCATCTGTGTATGTGCTCTAACGTCTAGTCATAGCCTAGGATCGACGAACTAATTGCCGCGTCCCAGTGTCTGCGTTCTAATGTCCGCGTCCAAATGTCTGCGTCCTAATGTCTGCGGCCTATTTCCTTTGCGGTCCATTGTCTTGCAGCCCAATGCCGGCGTCCTATTGTCTGCGTCCTAATGTCTGGCGGCCTAATGCCCGGTCACCGTTTTGAAGGCTTTCTATAATGACCAGTTTGGAATTTAGCTCCAAAATACGGCGAACGGAACTAACGACCAATCAAAAACGTGATACCCTGTTGTCGGGTAATGGGATTCGAATCCGAGCTGGGTTTGAGTGGTTACTCTTTGGTATAATGACGAGTCTAGCGTTTATTTTGTTTGTTCTGTTCTGTTTTAAAATAAATTGTTTATACAGGTAGTATAACCATTTTCTTCTTCTTGTACTAACCACCGAACTAAAATAATATGGAATGCTAATGCAATGAAAATAAACTGACACAAATTGATTTCGCGCAGATGCACTGCTGAGTTTGCGCAGTAAAGTTAACTGAAATCGCAAGCGACTAGGTCATTTTCGTGGAAAATGTTGAGCAGATTTTAGTTACTAGCCGCATGCTGCACGGGCAAAAGTCGGATGCTAGTCTACTTGGGAACAAGCGATTTTAGTCACTTGCGGCCTAGCCGAATTGACGGTCGAATTTTGCCGCGCGGCCTTGTCGTGCGGCGTGAATCGACCCGTGTAAACCCCTTTTTAGACACCACGAAGCCGCCAAATTAAAAAGACAATCAGGGCCGGTTTCTAAAATATTTGGAAGTAGCTACATATCGAGGAAAGTCAGATAACGAAGTGAATTTTGGGTATTCTTTTACATGGACATTACGGAATGCTATTATTCCTTCAAACAAAACAACTGTTAATTGCATTAATAATATAAGACCGGATCCACTAAAATAGGCACAGTTCAGTGACCGGATCTGTAATCTCACGCAATGCGCAAGCTTAGAAGTGCACCAACATCTGATTCAGACAGAGTAAATTGTGTCATTTTGTTCTCGCGCATCCTTAGCCATTGGCGTTGTACCAGAGCCTAGGGTGGGTGAATAAAACCACAATGCCAAAAAACCCAAAACTGATTTTATTGCCGGCCGTGAACAAGAAAACTAAAAATAACATCGTGCGAAAAAATCACCCTACAACAACCTAACAGCCCCTTACCTAAAACCAGGCAGCGTGTTACCAAAATTAACAATTTTGTCCCAGCCGCAACCCACATGATTTAAGTATTCTGAACAACAAAATTTATGAAAAGGAGTCCACGTTGCGTTCACTCTCCAACGAATAAATAAAACAAATATTCATTCTAACGCACTTGAATATCCTGTAGAGCGTTCTAGTTTTATATATTTATTTTGCATAAATTATTTGTTTTTGAAGCAAGGCGTACTGCATGCTTTTGTTCTGAGTAGGTACCTGCATTGCCTGATCTTTTTTGTACATGCAATTTACCATTTTACGAGTTGTTTTGCCTAAATTGAACGGTAGATGTGCTTTGTACTTCATTTGATTTATCGTGTTTTCCACTGGTGTTTATGATGTCTTTCCTTCTAGTTGAGTTAACTGGATTTGATTTGATCGACGGACTGGGTACTTACGGGCCAGGTGGAATCACATAGGTTACAGGCCATTAAGCCGGCTACAGACCCACATACTTTTTTTGAGATATGTACGCGCCTACATATCCTTCGGTGTGTAGACAATATCTCCTAAAATATCTCTCGAAGATGTATCCAGTCAATGCTTGAATTTTTGTACAATTTGAGATGTTTTATTTTTGTATTTTCTATTGCATTTTATTGCCGTAGTTTATTTCATGTTGGTATGTATTTGTGTGGGCTTTCATATTCATATTCCTATAGTTGATATTATTTGAAACTGTCTCCACTGATAAAAGTATTGAAGTGCATTTTTGTTTTGCAGTCCCATTGATGATGATTAAATAAGTCCTGGTATGTAACAGTTGTGTATCCTGTATTTATCTGATATTAGTTATCACCAGACTTCTCTCATATAATTAATGAACTTATCCTTATTCAAGTTACTTTCCTATGTGTCTGGAAATATATATTTGCAATAATACCGTTTCGGAAAAAATCAAAATCTCAAGAAATTCATGGATCTAAATCCTATCAGCATCTTGCTCTGTCTATCAAAGGTTTTGAAAAAGATGACGGCGGGACAAATGAGATTGTACCTATATGCTAAAAAGATGTTACCTTCTTCGCAGTCTGGTTTCAGACCGAACCAGATATATATCTCACGCCCATATTATGACTGCTGCCATAGTTTATTTTGCTTGTTCTATTGGATTACTCCAGGGCCTTTGACAGAATTAATCATAATGTGCTTCTAGCTGTCTTAAAATTCATTCAACAAGGTTCAATCCCTTGGGCCATCACTTAAAAAGATTCCACCGGCATGCCCGACACTAGTTGATTTATGAATTTCCCACAAGCGGCATTTTTACCGCACACATAAAATCTTTAGCGGTTACTGTTAGCTCTTTAACGTCAGGTGGTATCAATTTCTGCCAATGAGTTACTTTATCAACAGTAACAACACCTTTTGTGGGTTATTTTACACATAACAGTGATTACCCATTATTTTAGCTACTCTCAATGTACATAAATAAACTGTTGAGCGGGCGTTATTTTTAATAACGCCGGTCGTCAAGCTAACTATTGAGTAATAACAAAGTTAACAGTCATTTCATATGCAAATGAACAGATGAGGCACAGTTAATTTTTATGCTGGACGATCTTTCTTGTCATACAATCCAATGGAGTTGGCTCATGGCTCTAAATCAAATAAGATAATATCAATACATTCAATCAATCCAGAATTAATAAATTTCCGGTCCGTGGGGCGCAGTTCAGTTAAAGCTGTACTGCGGTACTAAGGGTCCCCGGTTCGAACCGGGTAGATAGTTGTAAATGTATAGCGGGTTGGGTTGGTAGAGGCAGCTTTGGCTGAAACCCCGCCCACTCAAAAATAATAATAAAGATAAATAAAATAATAAACCACAATTTTCCAAATATGCGTCCTAAAAAATACAATTGTGGAATCGCATTGCAAGAAAACATAGCAGTGAAAAGTAAATGTTCTTTTATTATAGTTATATTTAATTACGAAAAATATCCTACCTAATCTTTCGTTTTTCTAAACATCAAGATATGAATAACAAGTCAAAAGTAGGCAAGAATTTCAATTGCTTGTGCTTTTCCAACATCTAACTGACACACTTAACAATCATGGAGTAAACAAAAAACAAATGATAAAACAAAAATAAAATAAGGTAAATACAAATTGATAAAAAATTGTTTGTTTTTTGTTCACTCAGATAATGTACACAATACTAGCGATGTTGCAGTTTACAAATGGAATTATACACGACTCTTACAAAAGTTTTAATTATCGTAGAATACTGACTGATAAAAGTATGATTCCCTACACATTCACTCATCGATAAATGTTTTAAATACTGTTTCACGCAATCGTAATTACACTTTTTGGTATTGTTTAAGGTGGCCCCACCCACACTGTTTAATAAATAACTTCGTACACTGTTGCCTTTTTATCACCAGAACCAGTTACTATGTATTTATCGTCCGTTGAAATGTCACAACTTAATACACTAGACGATTCTTTAGACTGCAAATAGAAAGTTAGTCATAAATATAATTTGTTTATGCATAAAACTAACCTGAAATATACTCGCTCCGTAAGGTGTTCTCCACGCATTTAATAGATTATCTTTACCAGTAGAGACAAACCATTTTCCACAAGAAGCAAATCTTAAGCTAAGAACACAACTTTCGTGTAGGTGTAATTGATACTTGTCTGGTTTAGACGCGTGCAACACTTCGACGTGAGAATTTTCCATACCAACAGCAAGCCAATCGCCAGTTGGACAGTAACCAAGCGAAAATATTTGCGAGTTAAAATCGTGCTGTTGCAGTTGCTTGCCTTCTCTAAGATCCCAGCTTCTTACTGTATTATCTAAACCGCCTGTCCACAATTTTGTACCTTCTGTGGAAATGTCTATACAAGATGCGCCATCTGTATGACCTTGGAATTGCCGCACTAGTGTCTGATTGTGAAGATCCCATACGGCGATATTTCCATCTGAACAACAACTAAAGCACACTTTCGAATCTGGACTAATTGCTAAAGCATAACATGCAGGTGCACTAGAGGTTAATTCGGCTTTAATTCGTGGTGTTGGGCTAGCTAAGTCCCAAATTGAGAGATTACTTGCTTCTCCGCCAACTATCAGCGTTCTCCCATCTGGTAATAATTTGACCGATCTTATGTAGTTGTCGCGTTGCTGCAAAGTAGCCGATAGACTAAAGAAGGTATTTTTACAGAATACTAACCAAACAATCCAATTGTGAAACAGGTGTTTTAGAACCAGGTTGACTAATATCCCAAACTTTAACACAGCCTTTGCCTCCAGTATAAACGTATTTTGTAGGATTAGATATGGTAACTGCACACACAACTTCTCCGTGATTTAAAGTATTGATCTGCCTAGCATGTCTAGGGATGCCAGGTCCTATAAGAGCATCTGTAGGAAATGGAACGGGCTGCAGTTGACCCTCTCCATTCATATGAAAGGAATAAGCTCTGAAAAATACACGTATTTGATTATAAATGAGCCAAACTGGGTGGCACGATATAGATACCAGTGGGGTGTATGTCAAGAATCATTTAATTTATCAAGTAATGACAGTTGCATTGAAATATCAAAGAAACATACAGTGCGTACATTTTAACTCTTAACATACAAATTTCTTATGCACGATTCTTAAATATACGAGTTAATGCATTGATATGCCTGACAGTTATGCAACCCACCTTACACACAGCAGTGTAAACAAAACTTGGTGTATAGATTGTAGGTATAAGTATTCGGGCATTCGTCAGATTTGTTTAGCAGATTCGACTTAATCACTGTGAAACTGTCTTTAAAGTGGTTTTATAGTGTTTTTCAGTTACTGGAATTTTACTCATTTGCTGCAAATTGTTGAATTCAGTACGGACATGTGTGAAATTTCAATTAATTTTCTAGCAAAATTATGAACAGTGATGTAATTAGATTTTCTTCTACGCATGCTAAAATATTTAACTTCATTTCTATAATTAAAACACGGCAAGTTTATTGAAAAACATATGAAAAAGCAAAAAGATGAAAGTAAATAAGCTTGGTTGCATATCTTAAGGGGTATTTGACTTGTATATTTAAAAATGGAACATAGGAGATTTGTAATTTACACACTCTATGAACACCAAAATTAAAGATCAACATTTTTTCAAAAATTAAAAACAATCCAAGAAGAACATACTCATTTGGCTTATTGAATAGGGTTTGACTTGAAAATATTGTAAATAATCAATTACAAAAGCGCTTGATAGGATTAAGTCACTATTTTTATTTTTCCAATAATAATAAGATACGTGGTCATCATACTTACGGTTTTCCTCCTGATAAACCTCCTAAACCGTTAGTTGCAATATTTGGAGGCCTGGAATGCGGGTGCCCGTCGTAGCCTAATAAAGGTGGCCTTGCATAAGGTGATGGTGCTATATTATTATAAGGAGCTAAGTGTTCTGGCGCTCGACTTCCGCCTAAAGCATATGCAGGATAAGCTCCTAGTCCTACTTTTGGACCACCCCCACTTGCATTTGCAGACATGTTAGGAGTTGTAGAGCGAGGTTTTGAACTTGGTGTCAATGGCTTTTCCTAGAGTGAAAATATCTTTAAAATCTGTTGCTACATACTAGAGAAAGAAACATAAACATATTCATGTAATGTGTGATATGTACAAACACTGTCTGGACCAGTTGGGATTTTCATACATTCTAAAGGATGAAATCTACTTTGACATGTAAACATGCTTCTCATTTGCTACAGTACAATAATTTATACATGCAGTGCAGACAATCCAAAAAGTTTAATCAGGACTGTAACTCTATCATAATGGGTAAGTAATCTTACATCTTTACTTTTCAGTGATGGTGTACTTCGGGATGAGGAAGAGCCACTTCGACTAGGAGGCCGCTCCACTTTTACTTTATCGCCGTTTATACTTCCATTCTCTCGACCATCACCTGCATTACTTAAGGATGGATGTTCGCCATTAGGGTGGGGAGAAGCTATTTCCTTTAACAATTAAAAACTTAAAACAATAGCCAAATTATGATTTAAATTACTACCTCATTAGCAACATCTACAACTAAATCTTGATCACTTTTCTCCCCATCACTCTCCTGAAATAAATAAGAGAATGCAATTAATAACTTAAGTAATGTTGACGCCTGATATGCATATAATAACATATTAACAAAGAATGTTACTATCAGAGTTACTAAGTAGCAGGTAAATTATGTTAATATTATTTATTGAAACAACATCCAAAACCTGTGATGAAACATGATATCCTTGTACTTACTCATCACTAGTGTAATGTTTTTAAGATAATGTATCGACTTTAAGTCACTACATGGAAATTGTAAAAATTCATCATCTCATTCTCGCATGCCATCCCTTTCTCATTCCATTTGGCACACAAGCGACTATAAAATATTAGCGCGACCATGTATGTTGGTAAGTATTTTTGTTTTTTGGAAGATACAACTTTAGATAAAAGAATTATGGTGTGTAATAAAAGATGACACTTGGGAAGCAAAGGTAAAAGACCCAGGTACGCGCATGCGCACCCCAAATTATTTGTGTCTTCTCTGGTGCCGTTTTTTTATAAATAATCTACCGATATAGCAATTTAATATTTATTATTAAGCATCATACATTTTATAAATTGAATTTTTAGGTACCTAAGCTGTTCAATACTACAACCAGTTGTTAAATAAAACTAAGTATGCATAATATTTTTTGTAAATATAAATAAACTATTCCCTTCTTATTTTCGTTTTCGAACTGTATGGACACAATTTGATAGATGCAGAAAAATCCTCCAACAAACAGAATTTACTCAGATATTGGCAGTAGCTAAGTATTTTTTTCAGAATACGACAAAATTATGCGTCTGTCAATATTGATTCCATAACCTGCTACTTACTTGAATGTTCTACCTAGAATATAAAAAAAAGGTCATAATATCTCTACATGTACCTACTGAAACTGGATTGAATACTTATATCAAGTAGTATATCGTTAGATTCCTTGAAAAAGGACCTCTTTAAAAAAGCTAGGCACTATAACTGACTATGCTTTACATTAAAAAAAGTAAAAGGTTTGTCCATAACTATTATCCACCCAATTCCCTATAACTTTTCCTATTGCAAACTTTTCTAAAATCCATAACTATGCTCCCTATAACCATTGAAGAGGTAATTTTCTAAGAGTCAGTACGTTAAATTCCAGTACTTCATCTTTCAATATTTATCCCCCTAGTTTTCATAGCCATACTAAGTCCTACTGCAGAGAAGGTACAATAGTCTCAAAACAGCTTTCAAGACACATGATTCCATGGTTGGTTCAATTCACTTAAACAAAGAAAACAATACAACAGACCCTTTTTAATCCATTGTCCGACAACAGTAGATGCGTTTGTGCGACAACGTTTTTTGTCCATTCATTCATCCTACACTACTACTGTTTTCAATTACCTAGTTCATGTTTACACTTTGACCCCTCGGCTTCAACAATTCTACAGGTTTAAACGTCCTTTAAGAGCCCGTGAGAACGTTCAGTCTTTCAAGTGTTTGAGAGCCTTTAAAAATATTTAGGAGTCATTAAGGTCCTTGAAAACTTTGAAATAGTCTCCAAGAGCAAAAATTTTCTAAAAATTATACCTTTACAAATGTTCAAGACTCTTATTAGTGGCCTTTGTGTTCTACAGTCTCCTAAAGTCTTTAATCTTTATATTAATATTAAAAATCTTTAAGAATATTCAAGAGACAAGAGTCTTCTAGAGTTATCAAGAGAAATGAAGAAGCATTTTTAATCATCTTTAAAAGCTTTTAAAATTCACGCTCTGGCGGGGCTGTGGTCGAGGAGCGTGCAGAGTGACGTAGTTTACCTATAGTTATGCAAGTGGGAGGTTTGTATTCATGTTCACTGTTCAGTTGACCTAATGAAGTGGACACGTGATGAGCGCTCGTTTTGTGTTGAAGCGTACTTCTCAAACTCCCACTCAATCATTGCAGTGCAACGTGCCTTTCCGTTTCCGATTTGGAGTCCCCCCCACCCCACGCGGACGTGTTCCTGGACGGCAATGAATTCTAAATTGGGTAAATACATTTAGAACAACAGGGGATGTGTTATATATACAAAAAAAGACCTCAGAGAAGCGTTACAACGCCAGAAAATATCAAACGAGTTAGAAAAGCAGTACTGCAATCTCTAAAACGCTCAGATCAGAAACAGTCTTGCTCTTGGCATTTCAAGACATTCTCTCCAAATAATTCTTCACTTCTTACTTTTTTAGGAAAATCGTCATAGTGCAACTGCGAATTCGAATTGTTACTCAACTATGCAGTTTTCCAGCTGGCTTTCAATGCAATGCAATTACATTACCTGGTTTCAACAAGACGGTGTCACTGCACAGACAGCGAGCATTACCATGAATTTTATTTGGCAAACGTTACTCGGAACTCACCGGACTTAGTCCCATGCAATTTTTTTCTTTGGGGTTACCTGAAATCGAAGGTGTATTGCAACCGTCCCAACATCCAAAAACACCTACAGAACAATATTGAATTGAAGCACAACAGAACTGACAGATGTACTAGGATTGTGCTTTGTAATAAGAAAAAAATTTTAAGTAAACAAATTTTCAGGGCTTTTTTTTAAACTATGAATCCATGATTTGAAGAATTTCTACATCGTCTACTGCCTATACCCTTTACCAGTGGCGATACCTTCAGCCTTCATAAAGCAAATGAAAAATGCCCAAAACTTAAATGTTAAATGACTTGGGACAAGAGGTGAAGCGATTATAAGAAAGGTATCTGTAATCGAACTGAATGAACTGTTTCTGTGAAAAATGAGAGTAGGTATATTAATTTCCAGAAATGAATATCCGTGAAAGCAGACGTGCTGCAGTTGGATGATACAAGGTGGGAACTCTACCGAAGTGAACAAAAAATTTGATGTCATTTTGCTACTGTGGATAAACCAAGCTAGCATCAAAGAATTTTGGTGAGTGAGGTAATGAGTAAAAACGAATTTTCCCAGCACTACCGACCGGAAGTGACCCTACATTTTGAAATTCAAATGGTACACCCTGAATATTTTTACATGTTCGGATTCTACAGAGAATTTTACAGTTGATACGTTGTTGTCTCGGATATTTTGAAGCACCTTGTATATTTATTGCAAATAACTAATATCAATTCCGAATCTATAAGCTATGGTTGAATACTTTTATTTTATGGTTTATTACCAAATGTGGTCATTAGTAATTATTTTTTATCCTGTTTGGTGTACCACAAGGATCATTCCTTGGTCCACTTTTGTTCCTGGTTTACGTTAATGACCTACAAAATGCGGCTAATACAGGGAAATGCGTCCAATTTGCGGATGATACCACCATAATTTCGCAAATCTACAAACCCATGCGGCTTGAGTAGGTCCATTGATATAACCAATTAAGCCAATACAAAAGTGCAGAACTAGTTTGACTCCAATCAACTAAAACACGATCCTAATAAAACTCAAATCATAAAATATACTAGCCAAAAGTCAGTACACAACAGAAACCATATTAAATTGATAATGGATTGAATTAGGAACCGCATATTGATTTATTTTGCTACGTTAGCAACCAAGATTGTTAAATTGTCTTAATAAATATTGACTTTATTGGTACCACTCGAAAGCATTTTTCAGTAGCTTTCCAACGATGTGTCACAAGTATGAGGTTGCCATTTAGGATTTTTGAAGAGGGGGGGGGGTGTCACTCATATCGTCATTCTGGTTCCCCCTCGATACTCCCGAAACGGTTTTGCGCGATTTTCAATACCTTCTTTAGTTAGGAAAATATGGCCGACTGCAAGTTTTAAAATTGACACCCTGTCTAGGTAAAGGTACGTTTCCTATGAAGCGTCTGACGCGGTGTGGCTTTTTCACATGCACCTGGAGACGGCCGCCGCATGCAGATTAGAACATGGTTCCATTGCATTCTATTGAGGCGGTGCATTGTGTCAGACGCTTCATAGGAAACGTACCTTAATACCACAGTCTAAAATATATTATTATTATTATTAAAAACAACGTATTCAGTGTAAAATTGTCTGTAGAGTGTAGATAGAATCTAAAAATGAACAATAATAATATACAGGGCGTACCATTTAAATTTTGATATGTATGATTAACCGAAAGTGAGAACAAAGTTACAGGGGTCAGCTGTAATGGCAGTTATATGCACATAGAACTGTCACGCACGGAGACAAAACGGCTCCAATTAAAATGTCGCCATCCACGTCATGTAATGCAACATTTTATTGAAAATGAAAGATTGCATCACACTTACCCTATAACTACCCCACGGTCCTGTGACGAAACCGCTGCGGCAAAAATTCAAACATATTAATTTACTGTTTTAAGGCTTTCTTACGAAAAAAATTATATCATTAAGGGCGCTAATAGGCAATTCAATTTAAGCGTTTACACGGCGCCGTCTTTGTAATGGAAGGGAGAAAAGCGGTACTTATTGAATCGAACTCCGACGTTAGTTCAGAAAGCGGCGACCACCTACTTCACCTTCTTCGGTCGTTTAACTGTATCTGCATTTAATTTAATTTCTCTCGCATTTCATTGTTTTACACAAAGAGCGCCGCAGGAAGTCTATTGGTTTCTTTAATTTTAATATACGAAAAACGTATTACTTTAGAGAAATTGCATTTCAAAACTTCAAATAAAAGCAATAACGCGCAACATGTTAGATGCATTTACCTTTCTCAAATTAATATTCAAAGAGGCATTTCTTTATACACTTTGCCTTAGCGTCTTATATCTCCAGGGAGGTATGTTGTTTTGACGTGTTTTCCACACTTGCTACGGAAATAAGGTACGGAAGTCCGATATTGTGAAAATCTTTGTACAGTTTCTGCACGTTTCTTTACCCCGCGGTTGTAAGATCTCATCAATTGTAGCATGTATACGTAGGACTGTAAGTAGTTAAATATCCAAGTGCTACGAAGCTAACGTCTGATTTGGTTGTGTTTATGATTATGCAAAAAGGGATATACCGAACGCTTAGGGCAAAAGTAATCATTTATTTACCCCATGTATTATACACTTCGTCCCTCTATTGAAGTTGTATTTCTGCTCAAAACATGGCTGCTTACCTACTTTGTCATAGACGCGGATCTTGACAACCTTCGTTCCCTAGAGCTACCTACCGTCTGCAGAAGTGAGGAGCGAGTAATAAATTAGATCTACTCGTACTGGGCGTGCGGAAAGAAAGTTATTTGTTTTTAGGAAGTTCTGTCACTATATAAAAGCTCGTTTCCTTAATCCATAGTTTTGCTATATCAATGGGAGTCCGATTTATAAAGCTGTACTTGATATTAGAGTTATCAATGTTTCTTTATTTTTAAATGATGTGTGACATACCTAGTGCAAATATTCCTTCCGTTTTCATAGTTTGAAATGAAATAGGTATTTTGGATATGCTCATAGATCGTGTCTTTGTGAATTGTGTAGTAACCTTTTTACTCACGTAAACGTTAAACGAATTATTTTTATATTTATTTATTGAAACAGGTAAACAGGTAACAATACACAATACACAATTACCAAAATTATAATTTACATTCAGTGCGTTCGAGATAAGAGGGTCACCTCAATATCTCTTTTGTTTGACGAGATACGAAAAATTTGTCAATATACTTTTACGTATAGTGGCATTACGATCTATTCGATAGCATATTGAAAATTCCAGTATCACTTCCGAAATCGATGGAACTTTTGTTTTTCAAATGCAACGCCTATGATTTTTTAAGATATTTAAAAAGAGCGATCAATTTGATGTACAACATAAAATATGCATATGGTTGATATACAAAAAATGAAGAAATTCGTGATTCAATATTCAGAAAACTAGCATGCCGTGTGTTACGCGAATAAACGTATAAACCACTCCGTGCCGACACAACGCTTTACACACTAGGACGGTATTAAATCAATTGATATTAAATTTGCCGTTATAAAAAAAGAAATCTGTCCTAATCTCCGATCGCAATCGCAATGATTATTTTAAAGGATTGATTTGTATAAAGTCGATTATTGTTAGGAACTTCAATTTGTATAGGAATTTAATTTAACGTAATCGTAATATTCCTAAAGGAGCCGACCTATGAGAATCAATTGCATGAATCAGATTTGTATCGCATTTATTGATAATAATCGAATCCATATAAGGGACTTTGGTAATTTTTTCATTAGATGGACTGCACATTGTATTTAATTTCAGTGATACCATTCCTTTGGTTCGATTCAAATTTTGTTCAGCAATGCAGGGGGGGGGGGGAAAATATTTTCTATAGGAGAATGCAGTAGGCGTTTATTATGTATAAAAAATAAAATTTTAGATAAGGGGTAAACCGAGAATTGATACGTGATCACGAGATAGGAGTTGTATCTTTTTTATAGACCAAACTAATACACAAGGGATACACAATGAAGATGTAAAGAAAATTGGAAAGGGATCGACTTTATTTTTCTTAATATACTCAATCAATTCATTTTACAGGCGTATTTATTCAGATTTAAAGGGGAGATAAAAAGCCAAACTTCAGCAAGGTAATGGGTGCTTAAAATTACCGAGTTAGTCGTATATGAAATTAATTGTGAATAAAAAATCTCTTACCACTATCGTAGAGGTTCAATTTTCAACCCTTTTAAATGTACCTAAGCTTACAAGGTATTGCCTAAATATTGATCAAAGAGAATGACATCCAATTTTTTCAAATATCAGGCACTGAGGTTATAATAGGTTTCTTTCTATTTTATCCCAGTATGTGGTTCACTGGACATTCTGGACACTTTTATAGCCCATCGTAAAGAGTGCTATCAAAAAGTAAAGTAATGGTAAAATCAAGTTTTATTCGCTCGTTTAAGAGATACGGGGAAAAATTAAAAAACCTTAATTTCAACATGACTCGTATCTTTTCCGAATTAAAAGAGATGCAGAAAAATGTTTATTACAAAAGTTGCTTTGTAATGATTGTTCAATAATTTACCGCTTTCAAAGTAAGTGTACGGGGTCAGGTAAAGTAGTTATCGGCCCCGCCTCATTTTTTTAATGGAAAAGTCTGTATGTTTTAATCTAAAAAATAGCATGATAAACAAATTCCAAAAAATTCAATATTGATTCAAAAAGATTAAAAACAGATTTTAAAAAATTCAAAAATTCAACAATCTTTTTAAAATTGTTCATTTTTTAAACATTTGAACCTTTTTTTATTGTTCTGAATCTTTTTTTAATGTCATCCCTGATGTTACGTGTTTGAATCGAAAATTTAATAACTAATTTTATATTAAAATATGTCTCATTTACCTGACCCCGTATACTTATTTTGAAACTTTTGTAATAAACATTTTTCGGTATCTAAGACAATATAGGGTCATTCTGAAATTGACGATTTTTTTTATTTCCCCTCGTATCTCAACCTAGATTTTCATTTTACAAGTGCATACGAGTTACGACGCCTATATTACTTTTTTGATAGCACTAACAATTACGGAGATACGTATAAGTGTCGAAAATGGAACACCCTGTGCAAGGTAAGAAAATCGTTAAAAGTTCTGATTATGGGAGTAATGCAAGCCGAAATATAATTACTTACTTTACACCCAAATAGGTACCTACTTATAACACAAATAAAATGAAAATAAACTTACGTGACCTAATTTATCCTCCTTTCTTCTTTTAATATCTTGTTCGCCATCCGGTGGAGACCGCGATCTGTATTTATCTCTATCCCCCGGCGAGACAGAATTCTGAAACAATTTGTGCTGATGACACTATGAATTAGTTCAAAAAACAATTAGGGATAAATTCTCGTTCACTTTATGACAAAAATCCTTGCGTAAAATCGTAACTTACCAGTCTTTCGTCGTTGTTCACAGAACCTGGTCGTTTGAGATCCGTGGAATCTCTTGAATGTAAATCAGTCGGTTTAAGTAAAGGATGTGCGCTAGCTGAAACCGCTGCATGTGGGCCACCGGGGGTACCTGGTACTCCAGCGCCAAGTCCCGCTCCAAAACCAAGCAGTCCTGCTGCCGGTCCCATTCCTGGTAATCCGGGATGGGGACCCATCGGTAATCCAGGTCCGTGAGCTCCGTGAGGTAGCTGCTGCGCATGAATTTGTTGCTGGAAATTGTAAATAATTTATATACCATTGAATGAAAGTTGCAAGTTGGTAGTGGCATGGGCTATACAGATACAGCGGTTTCGTTTCTTAACAAACTAAAAGATAACATTGGGATTTCTATTTTCATCAAAGTGAAAAATCGTTATTGGCCGCACGTCCGTGTGTCCGTCCGTCACGCGTACTATTTCTCCATGACTGAACCGATTTGGGAGATATAGGGCTCATTTGAAAGGGCTCCTGTTAGGTAGTACCATAGAGTACTACCCTAACTATGAGAAAAATATTTCAAAACTTGATATTCAGCTCTGTGATGTATCACGAACGTTAAAATTAACGTGCAGATTATCTGGAAAACGTTATTTTTCCCATACTAAATAACGCAAAATAACGTTTTTTTGACAGACAGTGCAGTAACTTGCACGTTACGTTAAGTGTGACCTTTCTGGTACATAACAGGTCTGAATATACGTCGTAAAATAAGTTATTTTACAACCTACCTTCAGTGGTGCACAGAAAAAAAGTTCACGGGTGGAAATAGGAAGATGGCCCCGGAAAAAACCATCACCCTGTAGATTTTCACCACCATTGACATGACCAATGATGTAAGCCCTTCAGCGTAACTGATATTACAAATTTGAGCTAAATATCTCAAAAACTCCAGGAGATATAATGAAAAAAGAATCTACAAGGGGACTATCTAAGAGGTGATGAAGTACTGTATACCTAACCTATACATTCAATGTTGTTAGAATGCCTAAAGTTAACAATTGTTATTGCGTGCTTTTAGCTGTGTCTTACGAATAATAAAGTATTATTATTGTTACTTTATCCCGCCTTACTCGATTCAGCTGAATATGTACAACAATTGGTCTGGTACATTGGCTATGTTAACATGACACAGTCATACCTATACATTTTTTGTTTACAGTACAAGCACCAAATTTTATTCTGGATGAATTAGTGATTTTGTTTCATTCGGTTGTGCTATGTTACTAATCATCTTAAGTGCATACATACAACTGTCAGTGACCTTGTGACAAGTACAAACACTACACTTTTTCACCAGAAGAACAACCCATACATATAAAAAATGCTAAGAGCTAAAGGTAATTACTAATAAATATCAATCTACTTACAAGCAACTGCTGCAATCCTTGCTGCTGTTGTTGCTGTAAACAACAACAAATGCTATTAGAACCATACCAACACCAGGATTTGATATCAAACCTACTATGCGAACAGATAGTATCTACTACAAAAACTAGGAGTGCAAAATCCATTCAACTTTATTTTCTAGTTCAAAATACGACAAAGAACAAAATTTTAAAAACAATATGTAATAAATAATATTTATTAATAAAATAAACAGTGCCTTCCCAATCACAATGAAAGGAACAAATTGATTTCCAATTCCGGATGTTATGTAGAAGAATCTTCGTTTTTTTTAATTAAAAACCATTCCTATATCTCATTTGAAGTTGAACTCCCCAATTTACAATGAATGTAAAACATTTGATTTTGACATTTTTCTTGAACATTTATGCAAAAGTATAGAGTGTGACACGACATTACTTTATCCTCTGTCTCATTCCGTCAAAATTCAATATGGCGTCCCTAAGAAATAAGAAAGTAATAGCTTCTAGCTTCTACATCTAGTGTGTTATACTGATATAGCAGATTCAGATTTTTCGAAAAAAAAGTGCTCATAGAAGGTGATAACAGGAAACAGGATTTCTGACCGTTTAAGGTAGGGAAAATGAAAACGAAATTTGGCATTTTCAGTATTTCGATGGTTTTCCAAGATCTTTTTAAAATTTCAAATGCGTTTTTAGTCACAAAAAGGGGCAACTTTGCAGGTTATACACTGTGTCTCTCTCACCGTGACGGAGATCCCAATGGTGAGCGAAGAATTTGAACCAACCTGTATGTGTAAGTTTCACATTAGCGCAGATAAATGAAAACGGATTATTCGTGACCTCTTTTTTATGCCTATTCCATTACCGTTGCCAGAAATAAGCTGCCGTCTTTTGTTTTATCCCTAGACAAAAATCGGAAAAATGGCCGATTTCTTCAATTTGTTGTAACTCCTTTATTTTTGAAGCTACAACAAAATCACTTTAGCATTATTCAGGCACTTTTAACGTCGCCATCAGTCTTTTGTTTCTAATGCTTTTAGCAACTGCGCTGTAATGGAAATTATAGTTAGCCATGGTTTCAAAAGATGGCTTGTTCTACGAGCTTTCCTAAAATGTATACAGGGTGATTCCTATAGTACCTGCCACCGTTTGGGAGCGTATAGGGGGTGCCTAGGGGAGTATTTTGATATAGGACACTTGGGGTCGGAAATCTAAAATAAGGGCGCCAGAACCAAATTTATCTTCTGGAATTTCACGCCTGTATGTAGGCAACCCAACCGACCGACGTTTCGCGCGGAGCGATGCAGAGCGAGTTAGCGCGAGGAAGCGACATGGGAGGGAAGGAGGGAAAACGACAGTCAAAAGCAATAACGTTTACAAGTGTTCAACGTGGCCACCGTTGTTCTCAATGCACTTCCTACATCTAGCCAACTATTATTATACTATTGCCATAGTGTTTATTCACTTGATACGCGTCGTTGCAGACGGGATTTCGTGGGTTTAAACAAAATTCTGATCAAGTGTCAGCCACACATCGCCGCCTGAGATCGCTCCGTGTGCACCGCCGGCCGGTTGGGTTGCCTACCTACAGGCGCGAAATTCCAGAAGGTAAATTTGGCTCTGGCACCCTTATTTTAGATTTCCGACCCCAAGTGTCCTATATCAAAATACTCCCCTACGCACCACCTACACGCTCCCAAACGGTGGCAGGTACTATAGGAATCACCCTGTATGTCATACTTATTTTCAATAATAAGTTCTCTACAATAAATTTTGTTTATTAATACATCTTGTCTGAAAACAAACAACAAATAATATAGTCGCCTATGAAAAACATTTGACAGGTGTAGTTTGTATTTTGGAAAAGTTATTTGTCATAATAGAGTTGTCTGCATTCTTCATGTTAGTGACATTGTAAAATTGTTAAAAATAAATTTCGAAATGGCGAACTATGAACAATATGACATACCTACTAAAAGTGTTTATTCAGTGCAACGAAAATTCGAGAGCAGCAAGTCGTGTCAGTTACAATTTCCAGAAAAGACTTTTATCTACCACCGTTAAATTATGCCCTCGATTATACCTCTCTATCTATAAATAATGCTAGCGATAATTAAATTGTTCTTCTTGTACACTTTGAAGTATATTCTATTCGATGTTACGAACTACATTAAATCTTCACGATGGAGTGGAAATTGATAAATATCTCAAACTACGTACCTTCCCTAAACGTCAATCAGAAGAAATCTAAAATCTTCAGCGCCGAGGAGATGTAACATTCTTCACTTACCGATAGAAAATTCCTAACTTGGGCTCTTATTCAATATTCTTACGCCATCTATGTGTTTCGTTTGTAATCAACTAGTTTTAGACGTAAATTGTTCATGTAGTAAATTTTTTTATTATCTTAGTATACATTTCTTATTACTTTAGTTCTTTGTGTCGCCGTCCGAGGTCGTGCGGTCATTTTCCGTGGTATTTTTGGCTATTCCTTTTTTAAGTTTGTCTTGCTCGCGCTGCGCGCAGTTACATTTCTTTCTCCTTCAGTAAAGGTTCTGCTTTCTCATTGCTTAGATGAAAATTTTCTCTTGGTACGCCATTACTATTCCCACTGCGCGTCTACCTTTAATGGCATTAGTGTTTTAGCCTTACCGTATTATCTTTGCAGTAGTTTATTTTTTTCTCTTTGATGTCTGTGGTGGATCCATTGAGGATCAGGTTTTCTATCTCTCGATAAATTTATTTAGTATATAAGTACCATAACAACGACTGTATCGACAATGGTATCCATGGAATTTATTCGGAGAGTAAAGTTATTGAAAGGTGGAAATATCGGTCCTGGATCGTTTTTACGGATCTGTATTTTGCATTTAAACAATATGAGGGGGGGTTTGCCTTCGCTCAAGTTTACTTTTCCCTCAACCTTTTCTCTTAAGAGTTCATCGTTCTAAATTTTGAAATGCCTTTCACGTTCATCTACCTGGATTTTACTTACGATTCCCACAGTACAATGAGTTTCTACATTACCGACTTTTCAGATTTTTACCGCTATTCCAGTGAAATTAATGACGTGATACCAACATTGCCTGTGACCTAATTACATGGAGTTTGTTGACCTACACTTCGATGATTGTTCCTGAATTGTAATCGCCAATATTAACGAAACCTTTTAAAACCATGGCCAACTATAATTTACATTACAAAAAAATCAACTATGAGTTACAGCGCAGTGGCCAAAGGGTCTATAGAAACAAAGGACTGACGGTATGACTATACATTAAAAAGTGCCTAAATACGATTTTGTTCTAGCGTCAAAAATAAAGAAGTTAGAGCAAATTGAAGGCATCGGCCGGCAAAAAACGGTAGCGTATTTCTGGCAACGGTAATGGAATAAGCCTCAAAAAAGAGATCACGACTCACGAATACCTAATCTGTTTTAATTTAATAAGAAAGTTAGACATTTAATCCCATCGAAATTGGACCACAATGTACATGGATAAAGAGCTGTACTTTTTAATTATAAAAAATGCCAATTATTTGTAAAGGGACAGGGGGCTGCTTTGTTAAAGCATGCACTGGTACAGCTTTCCCATTTTTCAGATACCTAACGCGATACCTAACGCGAGTCGTCGAGATGAGAAGGACCAAATCAGATTTGCGCGTCACATGTGTTACGAAGCCCGACTAAATCCGCCAATTTGCATTAACGAAGCAATATCCGACCAACTTGGTCTATAAATAATTGATCTTTCCCATTACCAAGGTGATCCCTGGTTAGAATCAGGGTTTGGGTATGACTGTTTTAAAAATGTCTAGTAGTCTGATTGATCGATAGAACAATTGTCCTGTTCGCTAAAAAAACCTAAATATTTGAATTATAAAATTTGTATGTATCTACTTTAGGCACCTACGTTCCCCTACACTACTACGCCTAAATTTTAATTGCAATACCCACTGAATACCACAGCCAAGTTAGCTTACCCCAATTATAGCATTGAGTTCTGTCATGGTAACTTGCTTAGCTCGTTCAACAGCCGTAGCAACTTGTTGCTGATGTTCTTGGGCCAAAAAAGGTAACACTTGGGCGATAATTGCATTTAGTCGTTTTGCTATTTCAGTCTGGAAGGTACATGAAACAGGATGAATATTAAAAAATCGTGTCACTTCCTATTCACTTACCTGTTTATGCATTTCCACATTAAGGCCATAGGACATTTCGTAATACTGAAACAAAAAAAAAAATAAATCATACATTTATTCATATCAGCGAGAATGAAATTATTTTACTGCCGTCGAGACCGTTATGTGACGTGTGAAGCGAAAATTGAAGTTTGTAGACCGTCAAAATGAAAGAGAAAAGTCTGTCTGCTGTAAATTATTCGAATGTTAAAATTAACGAGAGGATGCTGCGCGTGCATAAAAAGAATTTTTAATCACAAATCACACTCGAACGATTTCTCTTAGGGGTCGCTTTTTAGAAAAAAAAAGTAAGTGACGGGGAACGTTGTTTAAAGAGTGAGGATACAAAACAACTACCTCAGTTCGGTTTTATGGGAGAAATACGATATTCGAAACTGTATAATTAAACAAAACATTTTTCACCCCGAAGATGAAATATATTTCTCTACAAAGCAATTCATCGAGCAATTCATAATTGTTGCGATGTTAATGCTCTGCAGAGTGCAGACTGCAAGAGACACTTTTAAACCATTGCCTAATTATTTCAGTTTTTAATCTTTGTAAACATCGGTTTACCTGTAAAGTAACATAGATATAGATACTCATAGTGTAATTCTATTCTTTACACTCTGGTATACTTTATGAAATTGTAATGCGTCTGATTGTTTGTCCGGATGTATGATATCTTCGAGATACCTTCACCGATTTCGATTACATTGATAGTTCTTCTATCTTCTAAATCCGTGGTTCTTAAAGTGGGTGCCGAAAGTACTTCATAAGGGTGCATTAAAAAAGGAATTAAAACAATTACAAAAAATGCATATTGGTTTTTTCACGGTTTTTTTAATTACAATTCTATGTTTTGTAAGTTTCTATTTTATTTTACTTCTATCGTTTCTTATTTCCTTTTCAGTGATATCTTGGAAATGCACCACGTCTCACTTTTCCAGTCTTATAACCCCCACTTTCAATATGCTATTTCTAGTAGAAAATATTAGTATCTTGTTTCGTTATCACTTCTCAGTCTGTCAGTGACTCGGTAAGTGATAAATATTAGATTAAATTAAATTCCAAAGTGGCACTTGGTAAGTGCCGACAGAAGTGACTACTTATTTCTTTCTGATATAATCAAATCGGTTGTTACCCAATAGAAATGATCTGTGGGTTAGCAAGACGCCCTACTAATACAGGCCATTTGTGCTCAAACGGGCATCTAGCGGGAAAGTTGTGGGGTAGTTTTGATTTCTTTGATCCTACATGTTTTTTGGTGTGCTGAATCCGAATCTGAGGTTTGCTAACAAAATTTCATGACGCAACATTGAAAAAAATACAAAAAAAGTTGAAAAAGATATTTTTTGGCAGTTCTGTGCTTACAACTTGAAAACTATCAACTTTTCGAAAATAACTTTCCTGTTCAAAATGAAAGTACATAAAATTTCCTACAGATTCCACTATTTAGTTTTTTTCCTCGGTGAACCATTCGGGCTCAAGCGCCAGTTGAGAATTGGCGTATTTTGGCTGTATCCGCAAATACTTATCTTTTATTATTATGAAAATATAAATCCGTACTCACTCCTTCACGGATGAGTTTGCGAGTTATCATGCACACAAGCGCACAAAGTTAGACAGATGGACGGACGGACAGTCCAAAATCGTGAACTCGCTTTTTGTCGCTCGTTAACAACATGTAAAAAGAAAAGAAATAAATCTGGTTCAGTTGTTAACAGACAAATTTAAGTAGGAGCACGTGATTCTTCAGAACACCGGGACAAGAGGAATAATGCCGTTGAATAGGAAATCAATATACCCCTTTCGCCATTTGAATTTTTTGAATTAATAATGACCACAGCGCCACTTTCCCAAATTCAACAACACTTATCCAAACATGCTACGGTAGGGTCTTGTAATTTCTTTATCTGGTTCGGAAGAGAATGGGAATAGTTTTAGATAGCACAGTATAAGTATTATATATTATGAATAATATAATAATATGATATACCTACTGTTTTTCGTTAGAAATTAACTTTTCATACAATTCTGGATTACAATAAACACCTTGAACTTTATGTAAATGAGAAAAAATCACCCTTACATATAAAATTCAAATAATAGTAGGTAAATGCAAGGAATTCACTTATCGACAACCCTTAATATTAATTTACGGTTTTTGTGCGAAAAAACTATTTGTGGAGACAGCCGAAATACGCAAATTTTCAACTGGCGCTTGAGCCCGAAAGGTTGATCGAAGAAAAAAACTAAATAGTGGAATCTGTAGGAAATTGTATGTACTTTCATTTTAAATAAGAAGGTTATTTTCGAAAAGTTGATAGTTTTCGAGTTGTAAGCACAAAACTGCCAAAAAATATCTTTTTCAATTTTTGTTGTATTTTTTTCAATGTTGCGTCATGAAATTTTGTTAGCAACCCTGAAATTCGGATTCAGCACCCCAAAAAACATATAGAATTAAAGAAATCAAAACTACCCCACAACTTTCCTGGTAAAAATACAATTTAACTGGATTATACACTATGCTGTCTTAGTTAGAAACTAAAAGTGAGTGAGATCTGGCGACCTGGGTGGCTATTCGATTGATCCTCCTCTGATGGTACAAGAGAATCGATCCCTTATCATATTGCCATCATAAGTAGCAGATGACAGTCTTGTACCTCTGTTCGTTTTGGTCCTTCAGTTCGTCTTCGAAGACTTTATTGGTCCACTCTACTCAGGGGCGGACTAGGTACTTACGACGGGCCAGGTGGAAGTGCATAGGTTACTGGCCATTAAACGATTAAAGTATTAGTGTAATGAAGATTGGGGGGGGGGGGGGCTTTAGTCTAAGGTTACTGTATCCAGGATCTTCAGATTCTTCTGGACTGGAGGACGTCTGACTAATTAACAATGCGTTTCATGTACCTACTTTACGTAAGAGACACTTCGGAATGTTACTTTTCACAAATAGGAAAGGATTGGAGGTGCTTTTAAATCTACTTGAGACGGTCATTCTTTAAGTTTATCAAATTCATTTAACATCAGATTTAAATTCTTCAAATTCAAGAGTTCCTTCCTCGAGTGTTAATCTTTGTATACTGTAGATGTGATGTAAAATACGTTTAGCGTTTTCCAATGTTACTTCTCTTGCTTTCCCTCTACATTTAACCTCTGTGAACAGTGATTCGGAATTTTCTTCAACGCGGTTCTTTTGTTCGATGTCCGATGAGGGACACGGCATACCTTTGGCTTTAAATGTATTCTGTCTAAATTTGTGGAACTCTTTCGGCATTTTGATTAATTTTACACTTTTGACGAATGATTCAATAAACTTTCTTTTGCTTTTCAAATCTAATAAGTGTGTTATTTGCGTTCCACCTTTTCGATAATAAGCTTGATGGTTACGAGTTGTTGAGAATGGATTCTACTACCCGTAAAAACCACTCTTATTCAATAAAAATACGCTTCTTGACTTGATTTTTGTATTTTATTTTTTATTATTCTGACATTACATTTTATTTACTTGGCAACTCGCTTAGCAACAACTTATGATGATCTTAACAACAAAGACCTAATGAATAATGAGAATCTTCTATGTGTTGCCAGTTGCCACACGAGTGATGCAACCTGGTCTTTCACAACGTAGGGGATCCGGCCATTGTTGAGTGGGAGGTTTCTATTACTACGCTGGTGTTCTAAGTTCGGGTTTTTCCCGCTTTTGTGAGAGTGGGAGCTGTCGACATGGATTTCACAATCTGGACGTCGATGCTTAAGGTAAGTAAGCTTTAAACCGTGTACTTTAAAGTTTGAGCCGAGGTTCCTGGTTACGTATACGCACTTGGTTTGGAGTTCATTAAAGTAGTTTCTAAGTCAGAAGGCCGAAGAGATATTTTGCAGTTGAACGTTTGTTCTCGAAGATCTTACAAGCCGAAAGCTCCAGTAGGATTTAAATTACAAAGTATGAACTTTGAGGTTAAAACGATATTTAGAGGGTACAAATGATCGTTGAAACACTAATAGTATTTCAACATGATCCAGTTATTTCTTAAATATTGTTCCCTCAATTTATAGACAAACAGATGGTGCCAATTAATAGAAACGTAAAGAATAGTATTTACACTATAATACAAAGCAGGGCCGTATCTAGGCGGTGGCGAAGTGGGCGCCCGCCAAGAGCGCAGCTACCGGGGAGGCGCAAAATTGATCATGAAACTCGTTTCAATGTCTCATTCTCTAGAACTACACCTCGCACAAATATTTTATACAAATCTCCTATTGTAAACGCATGTAAATTATTTGATTCAATTTGCCCGAATATTGACTTATTTCATTCCACATTACTCGAAATGGTTAGTTATATTACGTATTAGTTAATAATTTTTGTTTACCCCTTAGATTGCATTTCATGTTTTGGTATATCTGTTTATTTAATTATTTTCTTTTATTGTTATTCACGGATTTTTGCGTACTACTATGTTACACACTGTATAAGGTTAGAATTTCGTTTCATTTTCTTTATATTATTTTGTACTCTATACATATTAATCTGTTGTTGTCCTGTAATTGGAAAATGTATTTTTTTCTGTTGGACATTAAATATTATTATTATTATGAAAAAATTTCTTTTAACATTAGTGTACCTATTAGGAAAAAAAATCAGTTTATTTAAACAAATATTATTCCAGATTGTTAATACTGTATGTACTGTGACTGTGAATAGCTGGGTCGTTACAAAGTGGTATCTGCCCTTCCCCCCTTTTGCCTCCTTATGGCAATGTAATATATACAGTGTGTCCAATTTAAGAAGGACAAGCAAGTCAAATGATATTTTCAAAATTTGTAAATTCCGATCAGTTCCGAAAAAAAACGAAATTAATCATATTCGGGTTTATTTTTTGCCGGCCCTGTTTGAAAAGATATCAAAAAACAAATAGCACTACCTCATAGGAACTTTTTAAGCTGTACAATTGGCGTCTTTGAGAAACCAGCAACAACGATGTATGGCACAATAAGATTTTTTATAACCTATATCATTTAAAGGAACATCAATTAATTAT